TCGGGTTCGAAATGGCCGACTGGAGGCCATTTTGTTTTAAAGAATTCAGTTCTGGATCTGTATCCGAGACATGTCTGGATTGATCAAGTTCAAACTTCACACACACAAGGTACATCATGTCACAAATATGTATGTGCATTTGTTTCATGATCTCATTAACGATAGCCAAATGGCGGCCGCTTTAAGGCCGAAAATGCATTGAAAGCGCACATTTTCACCATTCCGAACCCGGATCTCAGTTATGCATGGACGGATTACGTTCAAATTCGATACATACATTAAACATAATAGGACCTTGATGCACGTCATTTTTTTTTCCGGATCAAGTTCGAAATGGTCGACTGGCGGCCATTTTGTTAAAGAATTCAGTTCTGGATCCGTATCCAAGACATGTCTGGATTGATCAAGTTCAAACTTCACACACACATGGTACATCATGTCACAAATAGATATGTGCATTTGTTTCATGATCTGCTTAACAATAGCTGAATGATGGCCATTTGAAGGCCGAAAATGCATCAAAATCATGTATTTTCACAATTCCGGAACCAGATCTCAGTCATGCATGGATGGATTTTGTTCAGATTTAGTACAATGTGTTGTACATATGCAGGTGCATTTCGGTCATGATCTGCTTTGAATGTATATGTCACTCAAATATGAACGGAACGGGGACGTGTCATTGACAATGACTTGTTTTTCCCTATATTTCACATTAAACTCATCAAAAATCAGTGAAAATAAATTCCATACAAAACACTCAAAAAGCCTTTTCAGTAAAAATTAATTCCAGCAAATATAAAGCATTCCACAGTAGTTTATTTTTCAAACTGATATTGTTGATTTTAATACCCACAATATGGCGTTGCTCTATGATATCACTTTTTTCAACCATTATGCAAATGTCACCCACTGATAAACACTAGGTCATGATTTGTTATGACAACACTGTTTTATGATTAGATGCAAACTAACCATTCTTGCCAGCTAGTCACTACGCTTATGCACATAGCAAAAACAAGTAAAACCCTTTATACGTCTCTGCATGGAGTCCCGTTGGTACCTGCTGCCCAATCAATGAGATGCAATTTTTAACCATTTTTGCACCAAAATCTATATTTGTCAAAGTCATGTTTGAATCATTCCTTCAGCGAAAATTAATTCCAAGCAAAAATAAAGTATTTTACAAGTAATAGGAAAATACATAAAAATATTGTACCAAAATGTTTGTGGCAAAACTTATGGCATTAGAAAAGTTATTGAATCCTGAATAATTTTAGTTGCTTGCTACATGCTTTTTATAAGCCCCCTCCTCCAAATGTTCGCTTTCTGACCAATTTGTTTTCAGAAATTGAAGCTTTTTTAAAACTTTTATTATAAAACTATCATAAAAATTCATGAAAGTTAGGAATGTTTTTTTTAACATTGGCTATGGAAGCCATTTAGTTATGTCCAATGACCCACGAGTCTTTGCAAGTTTCCTTTAACCATTGGCTGGTTTTACTGTCATGCATTGTGATTGGTCAAATCAGCTGCATTTGATATTTACAAAACATAAGTATTTTATCCATGAAAAACATTCATGTCTTTGTGAAATTTACTATACTGTGATTTTTCTGTTTTTTTTTTTTTTTCAATCATTCTGATAAAACTCTAAAAGAAAGCAGTGACATGCACATTTTTAATGAAATATGTTTCAGGCCTTGATTTTTTTTTTCAGCACCGAAAGTTTGTTGAGATGTTCAAGTTGTAAATTTTCACGATATTGTAACGTGAAATGTCAGGTAAGAATTTAACTTGACTTCTATAGTATGTTTATTTGTAGTAGTACTTTTGTATTCAGTGAAATCATAAGTTCTATCATGTACACGCTAATTCACCAGTGACAAATTTACACTAACATTACTAACATGTCAAAAGTAACAAGTCCCTGTTCTGACAAAGTCTGAAAGGAAATACAACCGAAATAGCATTCATTTTCACTGGCATTTATTTAATTTTGATGTTTTTAACATGTTCACTGGGTTTTATATTTGCCGATTTGTCATACAAACAATGAGTTCAATTTATTGTAATGACTGTAATGAGTAAGAATTCAATATACAGTATTTTTTTGTATCTAAAGTGTGTATAAACACATTTATTATTTTTTGAAATATTACTTATTTTGACCATAGAAACAACTCGGTAATATACATAAGCATCTGTAGTACTAATAGAGCTAATACAGTATTACTTATTTTTATTTTCAGCGATCTGCATGGACATGCCACAAGGCTGAGTGTAAATCTCTTAAGAAAGTTTCACCCAGAATTCCTCCAGGCAGTGTTCGATTGATGTCAAGGATATTGTACAAGGTATTAATTCCATTTGTTAAGGTGCCAGAGTCAGCTTTATTTAAAATGCAGCAACTAATATACAAGTGTGGACTTAGCGGTATTAGGGCATAGCAAAACAACAATCAGGATGTCACTAACGTGTCTTAGTGCTATTTTGTACATACATGTACCCAGGAACCAGTATTTTGTTAGTAACGTACTGTGTATGAAACTCGCACGTTCAACAGTATGCAACATTGTTTTATTTTGTTTGAATGGTTTCTTTCATATTTGAATTGATGCAATCTGAGTAAAATCCGATGTAGGTATAGGCTCAAATTTTTTATTTGTTTTATTTCCATTGTTATTTTTGTTTGTTTATGAATATTTGTTTGGTTTTACCTGCCATTATTAAGTTCTTTATATATCATATCTTGGTCGCCTTAACAACTACAAATGTATTATAAAAAAAAAATTGGATTGCATCGGATTTTAATCAGAATTGAATTGAAGCTGACAGCAAATTCATAACAGTCAATAACATCACAAGCAAAGTGATATCACTATTTTTGTCACATGTTGTATAGTGCCAATAACAGTTATTTCTTTTGTGATATTCAGATTATCTGCCTTTAAACACATGCTGGATGTAGGAGACTTTACTCATTGACGGCCAATGTCAAATTTTGTCGCCTTTCACAAAATAATGTTGCATAATTTTTTTTCAAACTTTTGATCAAAACTCAAAACTAATGTCTTGAAATTATGTTCATTTGGTCCAAAATCAAGAGAAAAATTGAAAAAAAGATACATAAAAAGGAGAAAATGTACGTTGCATATAATTGTTAGTAGGAAAAAAGGCGCCCAAACAGTTGATGGAAGTTGACAAATTTTTACATTTCAACATGTTTACACACTTCTAATACATTACCGTACTTTTTTTATGCTGTAGGCAATGATTATACATGTATGTAGATGCCATTTTAAATTACTTTTCTACATTTATCACAGCTTAAAGACAAATCATGTGAATCACAGACAATAACCGAATTCATGTCTCTACAGTCACGTAAGTATGTACAGTGACCCCTCACTAACTCTCACGGGTGTCGGGATCCAAATAAATACACACATAGGTTTATTTATAGTACATTTCTTTATTGAAAAACATCACATCATTCATGTCGAGCTTTGCCTTGGATCGAGAATTTGTGTATAGTGTGCCAGTTTTGCAAACCCAGAACCACCTCAAACAGGATGGATTTTCAACAAAAAAAATGTATCCAATTTTAGATTAGCTTCTACAACAGTTTCTTTCGTCTTGGATGGATAAACTGCTGGCGTTGAAAGTTGGTGTAGGTGGATTTAGAAGTCGTAAAAATATTTGATGATAATTTTTTTGAAATTTTGAACCCCAAATAAAGGCCCACCAGCCATGAAATTACCCAGGGTGATGTTTTGGATGGGTGAATTTATGGCAGAATCCGGTACTAACAGGGTCATTGACAATGACTCGTTTTCAAATATTAATTAATAATTAATGGGAATTAATGCACATTATGGTCAACTATTAATTTTAGAATTTTTTTTAATAAAGTCAAATATTTAGTATTCAAATGCTGAAGGCTACTGCTAGATGTTTGACAAAGCAAATGGTGAATTCTGAACTTTGTTGTCTTTAATTAATTTCCAGATGACACTGCTTTAACCCCAGAAAAGAAAGAACAGTTTTCCCAGCTCCTGTTTGTCTTAAATCAGTACGTAGATGAAGGTACCCTACCAAATGATGTCTCTGATTTGTTATGCATATTTGGTAGAATGACGTCCAATAGTTTTTCTGTATGTGATTCCGAAATGAAACCTATTGGTGTGGGTATATATCCAAGGTATTTATTTTTTAGTCCATCTTTTTTCAGCTCCACTGTCAAATTAGTTAACAGCAGCAGAGCTGTTCATATTGTTGTTTGTCTGTTGGTGTATACATTACTTTTTCAACTTCTTAACTGTTTTCTGTATGTGTTTTAAACTCACTACAAATGTACCTTGTGTAGTTCTCTCACAAATTGTTCATTACGTTACGATACTTTAAATTCTTTAATTTTAGTGGATATTCTTGTCATTTTCTATGTATTCTTGAAAAATGCTTGCCTATTATTCCAATACTATACTGATTCATTTGATATTCCTTTCTCATTATGCATCAGAAATAGTGAAGCTGTATCAGTGTCAGGCTGCTTGTTTTTAGGACCTTGTTCCTTGGGCCATATAAATTCTTTATTGTACATACAGTAACCCTTCGTTAAGTCGTGCCTCAGTATTAAAGTCATGATTTTGGCTAAATTGCGGGTTGTTGGATGGCTTCCAAAAATTCTATTTTTTTGGCCGGCAGTTTTGAAATACAGTAAAAGAAATAATATTTCATTTTGCATGATGTATTTACTTTGTTAAAAGGCTGGAGGATACAACTTAACATCTACTGTTCGTCAATTACTGAGATCACGACTTTGAATTTTAGGCCAGTTCGGGTAGGCGTTAGTTTTGTTGGCAAAAAAGACAGGCTATCCATTTTCAAAGCATTTTCGCGAGGGCCCTCTATAAGTCGTGACCCCTGACAAGTCGTGGTTTTTGCTTGGATCCCGACACTGGCGACTTTGTGAGGGGTCACTGTATATTCTATGATACCGGTACATTTATTTCATCACTGTTATTTATTTGCAGTGCTTCTCTTCTGAACCATAGCTGTGACCCTAACTGTGTGGCCGTGTTTAATGGAACAGATCTGTGTATAAGAGCTGTTAAACCAATCAGTGTGGGAGATGAGGTAAAACTGACATCAATTCTGTGTTAAATCAAAACCCATCGGCTGCAGTGTTTGACTCTGATGTACATAGAAATGACGTCAATGAGGAATGGACATGAATATAGTGGAGTGTGGGTATGAATGTATATATAATTGTCGGCAATGCTTTGATTGTGCACGGCAAGTGGTTGTCGATGCTGATGCAATATTATTAGCGTTGAGGAAACTTGAAGCATCTTGCGTACTACATACATTACATGTGATTGATATCAAACATGAATTAATTGCAACAACTGATACTTTAAATCAAAATTAATAATATCAAAATACATGTACAAACTTAATTATGGTGGTTGTTTGGGTATTTAATTGTTAAATCAAGATTACAGACTTTTTATAGTAGTAATTTGAGTATTTTTTTTGAATTGTGAATCAATTTTACTTTCAGTGTGTTATTAGCTACATTGAGATGATGTCCACAACCAGTGAAAGACGAGAACACCTCCAAGATCAGTACTATTTCCAGTGTGTCTGCCATGCCTGTAAAGATATAGACAAGGTAGGTACAGTCAATTATCTATGTTTTTTTATAACCATACTGATAATAGTATAAATATAGATAAATGTGAGATCTTGCGAATTTGCGTGAAAGACATGCACAGAGCGTCTGCCGCAAAAACCGAACGATTTGAATTTGAACTTGAATTTCTTTATTTCGTAGCTCACATTGAAAGGCCGATTTTTGACAGCTGAATATTGCATTGTATACTTCATTGAATGTACACAAGCACATTGTTAAGCATAGAAATATCCCCCAAAATACTTTCACGTTTGTCGAATCCCATGCAATGTTTGTCGGCACTACGATGCCATGACCTTTGTTTTTCCTGTTTTTATGTTTGATTTCATGCATAACGCGAGATCGCACTGAGAACAGAAATTGGTCTATTAAATCGTATATTTCACGAAAAGACATTGGGAGAATTGGAAATTTACACATATCAACATGATATAAACAGTACGCCAGTACGCTTGTGTATTCGGTAGAAGATATAAGCTCTCTCTCTGGGTAAAATTAGCTTATTTGGTGGGAGATAATAACCTAGCTTATGCTCGCCACATTTGTCTTATTTGCATATAAACATTTATCATGTTAACTAGTTAATTCACACTTCATTTGCTCATACAAATTTACATATCATTTGCATATGTTGATTTACATCTCATTTGCATATGTTGATTTACATCTCATTTGCATATGTTGATTTACATCTCATTTACATATGTTGATTTACATCTCATTTGCATATGTTGATTTACATCTCATTTGCATATGTTGATTTACATCTCATTTACATATGTCAATTTATATCTTATTTGCGTATGTTCATTTATTTATGATGAATGAACTCTTCGACATTTTTAGTTCTTTCTTGTAACAGGATAATTTAAAGCAAAGTATCCAGTGTCACACAGGTGGATGTAATGAGCCAATAGTGATGAAAAATAATGGTAAACAGTTCTTTTACAAAATATTCTTTTTTGTTTAATATTGTCTCAAATGTATTTGACACTTCAAGTCAATGTTACAATAGACACCCATTTATTCAGGTTCTGTGTTCAGATTAGACAGGTTTAGCATTCAGATTAGACATGTTCAGTGTTCAGTTTAGACATGTTCAGTGCTCAGATTAGACATGTTCAGTGTTCAGATTAGACATGTTTATTCTTCAGCTTAGACATATTCAGTGTTCAGATTAGACAGATTCAGTATTCAGATTAGACATGTTCAGTGTTCAGATTAGACGTGTTCAGATTAGGCATGTTCAGTGTTCAGATTAGACGGGTTTAATGTTCAAATTAGACATGTTCTATCTTC